TTTGCCAAGGACCTCACAGCAAGTCCCTTGCAGGGCCAGGAATAGAGCCCAAGAGTTCCGATTCCTAGGGTACATCAGCGCCGCACAAAGCAGCTCTGTTACAAGGAAACCCAAGTGGCCTCGGGTGCTAGAAGCAGTACGGCCATGCTAGTGCCACATTCTGTCCAGGCTAATAATTAGCTCTATATTATTTCCCATATCTGAGCTGGTTCTGAACTGCATTGTGCTGTGCAGACTGATCTCCAGTCTCCTGATCTAACTGCTGAATTATGTCACCTCCACAAGCTTGGATGGAGTCAAACAAGCATGCCAAGCTTTTTGAAGGTCAGCCTCAGCTTGAAAAGGCACACTGCACCCTCACCACCAGGTCCTTAAAATGTTGTTTGCCCTCCTCTATAGATACCGAAATGCTGTAAGTGCCCAGTATTAGTCTGCTAGTGATTTCTCATTTTTAGAGGCAAGAAGTCTCCCCATCTGTAAGATGGAGCAAGCCTAGCATACCTGCCTGAGCAAAGCAGTTTGAGAATTAGGGGCGAAAGGGTGGCATGCATGCTTGGTAAGAATAAATAATGGATGCGTTAAAGCATCTGCTGGAATCTGCACTTCTGCATGACATCCTCCAACACAGACCACATATTATGTCCTATTCCCAGCTCTGCCAGTGACCTGCTGGTCAAGTCACTTCCCCTTCTACCTATTGTGCCTCTTGTCCATTTACACGCCAAGGCCTTTTTTACTAGGCCTTTACACTGCACAAAACACAATGGGACCTCACACTTAGTCAGGGCTTCTGGGCATTACCATGACCTAAATAGTAGTATGCTTTCCTCAGTTTTGAGATGTACAAGGAACAGGTTCCTTTTGAATCCATGTACATGTAGAGACTTTCAGGAGAGGCTGAAGGGGAAGATAAAGTTACATATATACCATACAGGCATGCCCTGAAATTCCTTTCCTAAAAGGACAAAATTCCCCAACAGTGAGAAAGTGGAGTCTCCATCAGTATCTCAAACTTTCACTTACTCGTGGCTTTGGCATCAATAGGCTCTTTAGACAGAACAGGCTCAGCTAGGCTAACAGCAGGTATAAGAGTGATACCCATGAACGATGGTGTAATGCCATTCTGAGTCACAGATCTAACTGGAAAGCCCCATAACTTTCTAGATTTTTATTTTTAAATTAAAAATTCAAATGTTCCAATCATTAGGAAAGCCATTCTGAGATTTGCAGACATTCAACGGTCACAACAGAGACTTTATTTCAATGCAAGAAAATCAGGAGGATTCATAAACATTTTCAAGATGCCTTTTTACTTGCTACGTAAGGCTATACAACTCAGCTGCACACCGGTCCTTGCCATAGAGATTTGAATGTTAAATGAATATTATATGGGATTTTTTTTAATTAGCTTTATATTGTATACAAGTCCCCTGAGGTTACCTGCCAGGACCCACATCAACAACAATTAGCTGTTAATAGGTTGTTCCATCATCCCCTCTCACTTACACCACTGGGAAGAGTTAAAAACCTTGTTCCCCCTTCTTAAAGCTTGCCTGTGTCCTTAACAAAATCCCATATAAAAAAAACTGTCTGCCAACACAAAATGAGCTTTTTCTTATTCTGGCTGCATATCCCTCCTCTCTCTCTTGCCCTCAAAAAGCTGCTCGTTATTTTAGACCCCAGAGGAGAAGTTATGGAGACCCTTCTCATCTGGCTACAGGGAGAATCAGGAGAATAGAACTTCAGTCTTCTTCCAGGGTTTTCAAAGTTAAACGTCCAGTCATACACCCAAGCTCTTCTCTTTCCACTGCCCTTTATTCTGCACAAGCTTCTTCAGTCTCCTTTGCATTTCTCTCCTACATAGCTTCACCGTGCCTTGAATCTCCATCTATTACCCGTCTTCTCCTCCAAAAGATAATTCACCAAGAAAACACAGCCCACTTCTAGCCCTTTATTTTAACTCAGAAACTGGGTGAACATCATCTGGATTTGCCTGCCTGCCATTACACTATGTTTTTCAGATATATGAGTGAAATCTCTTTCAAAAATTGCAACCCACTTTTTCTTGCGGATTTCTGACAGTCAAGGCTAGAAAAACAAAAAGAAGCAAAAATCAATAGATTTTCTTGTTTGCAAAACATTAGCTCAAGCCTTCATTTTCTTCGTCTCATGGACACTTTTATATATTCATGTCTTCATTGCAGAGTTCATCCAGATGATTGGCACCTGGGTCACAGTACCTAGGCTGGCCTAGCCCAAAGTGAGCAGCCATATTTAAATTAATTGGTCAATTTGTGTTTCTGTCCTCCAGCACACACAAACTTCTCAGGGGAAATCCCAAGGTTCTTAACTTCTTAGTACTACTGTAAATTGTGTCACCCTGTGATACTTCCCCAGCAAATGGCAGGAAAACTTATTCTGTATTTCTGAACACTGGAATTGTGGGAAGACAGTGGAGGACTTTCAGCTCCTCAGTGTTTAAGCCTACATCCTCGCTGCAAAGCGGGCACATTACTAGCCTCAGCAACAGCAGTATACTATAGTCAGCCCATCAGCTAGCCAGTTTAGGTTTGGAAGCACCAAACTAAAGTAAGACTTGCACATGCACGAGCACGGGCTGGGCGAGAGTCACTGCCGAATTAGAGCCTGGGATAACTCTGCAGCAAGGCCTTGCCCCTAGTGGCCAGTTTTCTATCCATGACAGACAAAAAACAACTTCCCTGCAATGCACAGAACAGCTCAATTTAGTTTTGCACACAAGTTCAGCAACAGAATATTCCCCATCAAGCTACACCTGGGCTCAATAAGATGCTAAATACATCTCATGACCTTTTCAGGCAGTCATCTGGAACCGAGTAAGAAAGAAAATAGGCAAAAATATCAAAACAGGATTATCTGCAACTTCTGTCGTTGCCTCCTAGTCTGCTCATACAGCTAATGGCCTGCAAAGGAGAGCCTGAATGGGTGTTAACCTCCCTTTGGCCACAGCTCTGCCTGCTGCTATGCACACATCTCCTGTCCTCCTCTCCTCTCGCTTGACACCTGGCCAGAAACATATTTGTAAATTAATTCTGCATTCACTTGATTAAACAAAAAGGTACTGATTTTGCCTACTCTACTCACTCCTCAGACCACTTCACATTCTTTGATCTGTCAGTATAGAGCTTAAACTTCATGGGTATGGGAACATGCTATTTTGGGTATTCCTATGCTTTCCTGGATGGTGCTAGGGAATACTACCATGAAAATGCATTCTTCCCATTGCCAGCACAACAAAAGATGACCGTCGTGTGTAGCTACTTTTTGGTGTATGCTCCATGTGCTCGCACCTACAGGGAAACTTTCCAGCATGTGGTATGCAAAGAGTAGGTGGGGCATGTGTTCACAGTAGTTTTCTCCAGCACCGTCCAACACCACGTAGACATGCCCTTTGGATTCTTCAGGATTCTGTGGTTCCTCCTCCATACAGACTTTATCAATCTTACTACAATTTCTATTGATTAGAAGTTTGTTTTTTTTTTATTAAACACTGTGGTTACGCTTCACTGCTGCCTAATTATATTTGCTGAATCTCATAAATTTGAGATTGTAAAATCCTTGGGAACAAGGGACTAGATGTTATTTTGTTTGTACAGCACATTGGAGCCCAGATCCCCATGGCTGCTAACTAGATCTTAATCAATAAGCACCTCTGGGAAGAACAGAAGTTTGATCACAGAGGGCTTTGCAGTTAGGCAGAGAAAATATAACAAGATCCAATGGTGGGACATTGAAACTGGACTAATGCCAAATAGAAACAAGATATCAATTTAACAGAAAGGATAATTAACCCCTGAAACTGCTTGCCAAAGGTTGTAGTAGACTATCCATCACTGAGTTTTTATTTATTTATTTGATAAAGATGGGATGTTTCTCTCAAACATATGCTGTAACTCAACCACTGTTGAGAGGCTCAATGCAGGAACTAATTCAGACTAGATGATCACAAAAGTTCTTTCTGCCCTTAAAATGTATGAATCTGTGAAGCTGAACTTTAAGAGCAGACAGCAGGCCAGCTGGGTGTAGAATCCGGATGCTAGACACCTGCTGACTTCCATTAAGCCACTATACATGGGTCTAGTGGCTGCAGAGTGCAAGCGGAGTAGAAAGCTGTATGCTAAATGAATGGGCCGGCTAATGACTGAACAGGTTTGGAGGGAACTTAGTTACAACACATAGCGAAACCAATACAGTTAACAGCTGCAAGTTTTTGGAAGCTTGGCACGAATTTTCAGCATGAATTATTTGATTCAGAGGTTTTAAACATGCCAGGTTGTCATTATACTCAGTGGGAGCACCTAGTGACAAGGAAACCTGAAGGTACGTAGATGCTGCAGGGTTTCTAGTTTAATGCACGCCACTGGGACCGGCTTTAAAACTCTACCAGATCCCTTCTGCCAGTTCTGGGTGAAACAAAGAACCCAGGGAAGGTTAAAATTATATTAGCTATTTCTTGAAAACCCATAATCTAATGTCAAAGCTGCGGGCAAGGTATTGTCGTGATGCCCTCCATAGTCACTGTGCTGCTGGCATGATTGCTTTATAAAGCAAAAGCACCTAGATTCAATTGTATCTTTTATACCTGTTATACAAATTTAGTTCCATTTTACCCATTGTGATTAAATACGATACCTATTTAGACAAACCATATCCCCCGAGAAAAGCTCTTCATGGTACAGTGCAAACAGATTGGGTCAGTCTGCTCCTCTCTAGCCATCAGAGTCACATGTCTGCTAGTAGAGGCTGCTAGAGCTCTTGCAGCTGATGGAAAGTGCCAGGCATTGAATCCACAAATCCTACTCCAGGTCCCTATAGTGAGCACCTTCTACTCATCTGTATAGCTCCTCCCACCCAGCTCTGTTCACCTACGAGTACACCTCAACTTGTTAATGAGCAGACTGAAAGTGCTGACCAGCATTTACCCAAGTCTCTCACATGCTAGCAGAGGAGATTATACTTACAAATGAAACAAAGGCAGCCAAGAGAAGAATCCGCACGAGGAGATCTTCGAACTGTTCCAGCACCAGCTCCCAAAGTGGCTTTCCTAGCAAAACAAATGCAGGAGCACCGTAAGTACCACAGCAGGACTGAAAGCCAATGGAGCGCTCAAGCTACAAAGTTTGGAGAGGTACAAAGATGCTATCCTCAGGCTTCTGATCCAGCATCCTTGGGTGAGAGCTACCACTAGCAATATTAACTACAAACTTGACTGAAGAAAGCATCTCCTGTTCACATCAGAGCTTAAGCCCCATTGAAGTTAACAGGACTCAAAGCACATGCTGAAGCACTAAACAGTGCACTCCTATTGCTGCTTTCTACGTTCAGAGCATTATGTACACCGGAGCCATACTGATTCCTGTTGCTGCTTTCTGAGTTCATAGCGTTATGTACACTGGAGCCATACTGATGCCTGAGTAGGTGGCACTGAACTCCACCAGGTGGAAATAGCCTTGTCAGAAGTTGAGCAGAGGACGTGTGAAAGCAACTAGCCAAGAACAAGGAAGCATTGCCTACTGGTGAATGTGGAGCGTCAAATTGTGCTCTACTACAGGGATGTCATAAAAAAAAAAAAGTGGTATCAGAATTCCCCTAGGGAGGGGAAAGATAAATCCTTAGAAACCAGAGGATATTTGCTTCCATCAGTAGTGACTGGTGCCTCCTGAGTCTGGGGGGGCACAATTTGTGGGCAGGCCTGGGGGCAGGCCAAAAGCCCCATATCCATTCCTATACTTCTATGCCGCGGCTTAGTGCCGCCCCCCGCCAAACATGCCGCCAGCCCACATGGCAAAGCAACTGCCCCGTCCTGAGCTGTGCCAAGTTGGGGGCCAATCTCAGGGGGGGCACATGCCCCCCCTACCAGTTGTAGTGACTGGGGCCTCCTGAGTCTGGGGGGGCACAATTTGTGGGCAGGCCTGGGGGCAGGCCAAAAGCCCCATATCCATTCCTATACTTCTATGCCGCGGCTTAGTGCCGCCCCCCGCCAAACATGCCGCCAGCCCACATGGCAAAGCAACTGCCCCGTCCTGAGCTGTGCCAAGTTGGGGGCCAATCTCAGGGGGGGCACATGCCCCCCCTACCAGTCACCTGTGGCTTCAGTAAAACCAAAGCTCTCATCTGATTTTACTGTAATTCATTGCTTTAAGTTCTGGGATAGCATAACCCACTTCTGAAGGACAGCGTGAAGCATTTTCAGAGCCAATTTTCAGCTCATCTAAAATGTACTGCTAGGAATGAAGCTTCTTCCAAACTTCATGCGTACTTAAGCTCTTTTTAAAGTGAAGAGATGCAATGCTCCACCTACTTCCTCCACTCCCACATACCAATGAGCTGTTGGAAAATGGCACGCACCTGATTTACAGTACGTATAACTGTTAGTTGGTACTAAAAATGTTCAATGAGACGTTCTTTGTACACTTACAAAAAAATCCATCACCCTGCCCTATGGGTGCGTAGGAACTGCACCTTTTCGTCTGAGAGCCAGTCTAACTGTAGAGCAGGGCATTAAGTCAGCACTTCTGCATTCTATTCTGGATGTCACTGACTCATTGTTTAACACGGGGGGAGTCCCATTAAACTCTCTCTTCCTCAGTTTACTCAATGGGTATAAGCTCAGTCCTCGTAAAGGCTCTGAGAACTTCCGGTGCCAGGCAAATGTCAACTACAAGGGTGTTTCAGAAACTAACAGCAAAATGGCTGCTCGCGCCATGCGTCTCCAACAAGGTGGGAAACCACACAGCAGAGGGAAATACAATGGTAGCATTGTCAAATGCACCCATTGTTTCATGCTGACCATGCACGTGGCAGTACTGAGCATGTAAACAACACGGCTCTGTGGCTGTCAATGGGATAAAGAACAGAGTTTTGTCACTTTTTTTTGTGGGCCCAAGGTGTGTCACCTAGTGACATTCACCATAGGATTGTGGCACAGTACAGCAAGAACTGCAAAGCTCAATGGAAGGTCAATAAGTGGGTGGTAAAATTCAAGACACATCTGTATACCCACAGGGAATGAACCCCCGGATGTCCTAACACAGCCATGATAAGGGACAATGTTGCTAAGGTGGATGCCACTGTGCATGTTAACAGGTGGGTGAGCATTCCTGAATTAGTACTGGAAGCAGGCCAAAGTGCTGACAGTATCCACACCATTTTGCATGGTCACCTGGATTACCAGAAAGTGTGCACCCAGGTCAAAGCAACCGACAGGTGTGCATCAGAGTGCACTGACAGGTGTGCATCACATAACTTGTGAAAGCATGCACCCAGCTTCTGCAACGTGTATAGGAAGAAAGTGAGGGGTGCCACTTGCACGCTGTCACCAGGGACCAGACTTGGGTCCATCATTAGGATCCTGAGAGCAAATGACAGAGTATGCAGTGAAAAGGCACACTGTCACCACTGCCTAAAATATTCCACCTTCAGCCATCCTCTGGTACGCTCT